AATTGGAAAAACTTTTTTATTATAATGAATACCAGAAATGGTCCACAACTGCAACCAATTCACACACGAATACAATTATGTGACAAAAATTTCTTTATTTATGCCATAAATTTGTTTAATTCATTACTACTTTCTGTGAGATATAAATATAATCAAAATGTTTTTATAAATTCATGGGAAAATTATTTTTAAAGTAATTTTAAATTTGATTAATCAAATTGTATTTTAATCACGAGTTCGATTAAATAGAGATTATTATTATTATTATTATAAATGATATGTATGATGAAAAAATTGTTTATTAATAATATTATTTTAAAAGTAATACAGTTGTATACAATTTTATGTCAATTTATTGTTTTCCAATTATTTGTACGTGAGGTCCAGTTCCCAATCGTTTCAGACATACGCCGGGGGTAAACTCGATGCGAACGACTGCGGAGGTCCTGTGGATCACTCGCTACTGTTTGTGGGATATGGCGTGGAAAATGGTACCCAATATTGGATCGCTAGGAATAGGTATGTGTTTTGTTAAGTTAATTAATTTATTGATTTGAATTATTTTTATGCTCATGGTCAGTTGGGGCACTCAGTGGGGTGAGAATGGCTATATGCGTATAGTAAGGGGTAAAACTATGTGCGGTGTTGGTGATGGTGGTTATGTGGCTGTAAGCGAGAAATAATAAACACGTTTACCATGGATCAATATAGTTTGTTATATAATTAAATTGAAATAAGTATTTTTTTGTGCATTACATTTAAATTTATTTATTTTATATTTAAAATAATTGGTTTAATAATTAAATTTGTTATAATATTTTATAAATGTTTATTATATATAATATTATAATAATTATTAATTTATTAAATATTGTTTACAAAGCTATTATTTGACCTAATTATATTCAAAATTAACTAAATATCAATTAATTATATTAGGTCGTACAGTATTGTTGTTTCTGGCTAAACACCGCACATAGTTTTACCCCTTACTATACGCATATAGCCATTCTCACCCCACTGAGTGCCCCAACTGACCATGAGCATAAAAATAATTCAAATCAAT